TCCAAGGATACTCTGTGCCAAGTTTAGTTGAAATTGGTCCAATAGTTCTGGATAAGAAGATGAAATTGTGAAACGTTTACGACAACGCCAACAACAACGGCGACGACGACAAGGACGACGACGACAGACAACGAACAAATTTTTGATCAGAAAAGCTCACTTGAGCCTTTGGCTCAGGTGAGCTAAAAAAATGGAAGATGTTTGCATTGATGTGATGAGATCTATAAATTTTGTGTCTTTTAAATGCTGTTTTTCAAGTCCAAATTTAATCGCAAAATATTGTGATTGATGACGCCTTTTACAATACTTTATTTTCCAATTTAGGATGCAGAATGCTTTTGTTACTTTTTTGTGAATTGATGTTGAATAATTGTATCACATTTGTAATATGTACATTGCCTTGCTTGTATGTGCCCCATAGCAATATCTGTCAAACCTAGGAAGTAGTACGTTCTATGATGCAACAATTCTAAGAGTGAATACAGTTAGAAATCCATAGTAATCCAATTTCCTTCTTACAACGGAAATTCATAAATGCGGAAGAAGATACATGAGATTCAGATTTTATTAAAATAAAACAAAAACATTAACATTAATTTTTCAATTTTGGTTAAACAGATCTAGTAAATGATGAGTCGAAGTTATCAAGATAAAGCGTACTGGCAGGAAAGAATCCGAAGTGAAATTATACAGAGTAAGTGTATACTGTCTTTAAACATCTTCTGTCATAATCATTTTATATCTATATATGAATACATCAGAAGTCCATAAACTAATTTCCTGTAAGCAGTCGTGTAGATACTTAAGTTAATTACACATATGTGTATTCCTGTCTTTAAACCAAGAGTAACTTAATTACAATTATGTCTTTGAGTTTTAAGAAATTGATACCAAGAAATTCATGAATTACATTGCAATTGAATATTTGGGAATAAATTTCAGATCGCAAAACACACCACATGCAGGGCAGTGGAGTTTGTATTTTATTTGTTTTGGATACATCAGAGAGCATGAAAGGCGAAAGTTTTCAGGAGATGAAAAATGCGTTTGTATCGATAGTTGAAGGTATGTTATAATGTAATGTAATAAAAGAAAGAAAATGGCGTACGTCCTGTGCGCTTTAAACAGGGCACTAAGAAAACACGCTATATGGCACGATTTGTGTTATCTTATCATCCTGTAATTTATACATGATGCTTACTCCTCCATGGCACCTGATCCCACCTCTGATGTTTTTAGAGGTCTGTGTTTGCTCCGCTCCCGATTTGTATTGTTTCAATGGATTTTTGAGCTTGATAACTGTTCGTCATCTCCATATTTGATGTATATTAACATAACAATGATTACTTTTTATGCCCCCGGATCGAAAGATCCCGGGGGTATATTGTTTTTGCCTGTCTGTCTGTTTGTCTATTTATCTGTTTGTCTGTTTGTCTGTTTATCTGTTTGTCTGTTTGTCTGTCTGTCTGTTGTCAACTTTAACCTTGCCCATAACTTTTGATTAGTTGGAGCTATGACTTTCATATTTCACATGTGTATTCCTTGTGACAAGACCTTTCTTTGGGTACCATCATATTTGACCTTTTGACCTTGACCTTGGAGTTTGACCCACTTTTGCAAAATTTTATGAGACTTTAACCTTGGCCATAACTTCTAAACAGTTGGTGCTTGGGATTTCAAACTTCACATGTGTATTGTTTTTGACAAGGCCTTCCTTTGGATACCAACAACTTTGACCTTTAGACCTTGACCTTGGAGTTTGACCTACTTTTGAAAAACTTTAACCTTGGCCATAACTTTTGAATATTTGGAGCTTGGGGTCCAAACTTCACATGTGTATTCCATGTGACAAGACCTTCCTCTGGATATCAACCTCTTTGACCCTTTGACCTTGACCTAGGAGTGTGACCTACTTTTGAAAAACTTTAACCTTGGCCATAACTTTTAAACGGTTAGAGCTAGGGCTTTCCTACTTCACATATGTAATCCTTGTGACAAGACCTTCCTTTGGATACCAACAACTTTGACCTTGACCTTGATGTTTTACTTACTTTCAAAAAACTTTAACCTTCGCCATAACTCTTGAACAGTTGCAGCAAGGGCTTTCAAATTTAACATTTTTTATCTTTTGGCCTGGATTTTGACTTGCATTTGAGAAACTTTAACCTTCGCCATAAGATGCCATACGGGGGCATCAGTGTTTCACAAACACATCTTGTTTTAGAATACTATAATCATCCAGAACTAGACCATAATGTTGCTGTCATTCAATTTGGAAAAGATGTCAAATACTTACATTATTATTCCAACAATTACTTGTCCGTTAAGCAAGTTTTAGGTTAGTGAAATATTTCATTTGATCTAAAACATCACCTCTGATTGACTGGTAATGAGTGTTTTTATTGTTTGAAATAATGTTTTATTATTTAGTGTATTCCATAAGATATATAAGTACAATAAATTCATGTATCTAAAATATTTAGTATACTGCTTTTGAATGTACAAAATTTAATATTTACTATAGTTATTTAATAATAAAGTTTAGCTTAACTTCTTTAAAGATAATTAAAATACTGAGAGTATTAGTTCTGCAAGTTTTATTTTCTGAATAAGGAGGAAAATATACACATATTTTTTTTTTGTGATAAACTGTATTTTACAACAGATTCCCTTGCATTACTAAACACAGTTATAACTATTTTGACTTTTTTCACAAAGTGTATGATTATTGTCACAAACAAATTGTTACAGGTTGAATATTTTCCTCACAAATTGATAAATTCTACATTTATTTATCCTAGATGACGTAACCTGTAAAGGACCATCTTCCATGTTTGAAGGATTGATGTTGTCAGTATCGGGTCTCGAGGAAGGAAGTAAGATCGAATTACTACTCTTAAATTATCATTAAGAATATCAAAATCATGATTAATTAGATTGTCATATCAAATATCATATACTTAAAGTACTTTAGATACTTTACGTAAAACGTTATCAAAAGTCATTACTTTTACCTAAGTCTTTAAATGTTCTTATTTCAATCAATTATTATAAATTTTGTCTAGAACTAAAACCTATAAACCTTGCATTCCTGTTTGTTTTCCTAACATAACTCCAAGAATTCATCACTTTCAGGTCTTTATTAAGATCTGCTTTATGCTTTACAATTCAAAGGCAGATCCAGAGCCGGCGTGCCGGGCGCACCCCCCCCCCCCCCCCAGTAGATTTTTTGTATGTAGAACTTGTATGTCCATTATCCTAAAATCAAAGGAAAAAACATCTCTTATTTGTAAGAATTCGTCAGCTTCCGAGGGCCCCCGGACCCCCACCAGGGCTTTGCACTAGACCCACTGGGAGGCTTCAATGCAGCCCTCTGCCTTCTACTGCCCCCCATTATGAAATTCCTGGATCCGCCACTGCAGTTCATCAGTGCAAGTAAAAACACATACTTAACTCCAATCTGCATCACAAAGGGAATGCTTGCTTTAATCTTAGTATATTTATTACCGAATCTGCAGTTATCCTTTCTAATTCAGCAGAGTAATATAGAGTTTTAAAAGCAACACAATATCTTAAGTAACTTTTTATTATTTTTCCATTCTTTGGTCATCAATGTCTTTGAACTTTTAATTATTTCTCCTTCACAGTCACCCAGCTTCTATTCAAATTTGAGTGAAATTGGCCCGAATTTCTGGTGAAGACATAATGTGTCTGGGCCTATATCTTTCGAGTAGGGTGATTGACTGGTATAAATTCAAGAAGCGAGTAAATTGGGATCTATAAAACAGGATGTTCTCAGAATCAATGCCTGTCCAATAAACACTGAAAGCAAAAATCTATAACGACAGTTAAAGGGAATTGGAATAGAGTTCTGTTTGCATTGACCTATAAGAATTACCGTTGATGATTTGAATTATTATTATTTATAAATTAGAACGTTTCACCAATGTCGGGCCATTTAATAATAGAGCTAGGATGATCTTAATTTCGAATGGCAGTACAGCAGCTCTGAATCATTCAGATAAAATGGATGAGTTTTCAACGTTTGACTCTGGAAGTGAAGAAACAGTAAGACATTATCTAGCACATGAGTTTCAAGAAATGCAAAATCGTTCGACAACTTAAGTGTATCGTTAACATTCAAAATAAAAGCCTTATATCTGTAGAACTTATTTTTAGGTAATTTTTTAAAATAAAAGTTTGTAACTTTCATGATTTATTTTTAGAAAGATCGTATTTTAGACCTTTTATGTTTTTTTAGAAAGATCGTATTTTAGACCTTGCCAGGAAAATTGGAAATACAAATCCAATTGTTTGTATTCCTGTTGGTAAATATCCAGATGTTGTAAGTATTTTATCTAACATCAAATTTACATTTAAATTTGAAAGCAAACTGATGAGAGGAGAAATTAAACTTCAATTTATTTCTTCTTCAGTGTTTACTTGGAGCCATTGCTTATGGGTCAAAAGGAGGAAAACTCTTGCATCACAAAGAAGCCAAGCAGTATGCAAGATATACCTTAAACATGGTACTTATTTCGATACATGTATGTATGGAGAGAATTTAATTAAGTCTTTGCTCTTAAAAAAATTGAAAATGATGTACTTATAGGAATAATTGTCAACAATCATTTGCAGTTGATTGCTGGAGAAATTATGGGCCAAATTCCCCCGTCTGAGTATGCAATAGATGATATCAAGAGAGCTATTATTGCTGGAAGACAACAGAGTAATTTAACAGAAAACGATTTGGTATTGAATTGAATGAGAATTAATCTAACATGCAGGGATGATATAATCCAAATTAAGAAGGAAATTAATTATGATTTGCTGATTACTTACTAGCTATGAAAAATTAGAGTGAAAGAAAAACATATTAGAAATAAGTTCAAGAAATATGTAAATAGCAAAATAAGTTTTAATTTATGCTAAGAATTTGCATGTTATTTAAAAGGAGTACATGCTTAAATGTTTATTATGATAATAATTCAAAAACCTTGATGATTCCCTTAAGCAACAAAATTTCTATTAAGGAAGATGTATTTGAGATCCTGATGAACAGGAATGCTTACGATATGAATGTGTACCCAGATGAAGAATCAATGGAAGAGAGCGAGTACCGTGAACGCGATAGTCGACTTCCGCCCCCTGGAACACGTGTTCGAAGAGGACCTAATTGGCATTATAATAACCAGGACTCAAACGGTCCAGGAACTGTAATTGGAAATTGGAGTCGAGGTTCAAATTCATTGTATTTTTTGTAAAAGAAAACAAAATAACTCACAAATGTTCAAAAAGTAGTTGGATAAACTATATGCTGATTCTTTTAAATAGATGGCTGGATATATGTTGAATGGGATACTGGAATGAAATTTCCATATGAATATGACACTGAGAATGTCAATTCAGGTGATATCGTCATCACTGATGAACCTAGGTTATTGCAAAGAGAAAGCATTGCAGTGGGATGCCTTGTTCAGAGTGGTCATTTTTGTGTCGCCTGCAAAGCAAAGCGACACTTAGGGATCACTTAACCCGACATCTGCCTGTCTGTCTAGCTGTCTGTCAGTTTTCCGTCTGTCACACCTTATATCTCAAGAACTGTAAGAGGTAGGGATTTGATATTCCCCACACACATATATTGTCTGGCATTAGGACCTTTGTAAAATTCCATGGTTATCGACCTCGTGACCTTTGAACATGACCTTTGACCTACTTTTCAAAATAGTTCATAGTCCCGATATACAGCATATTTTTGACATTTAAAGGTAAATCTATAATATTTAGTTTGTGTACTGTCTGTCATAAAACATTATGAAAAAACGAGCGTTACAGTCAACTTGACCTTGACCTACTTTGCAAAAATATGTCCAAATGGTTTAATTTTAGTTTATCTTCTGATTTTGAGAGTCAAGGTTTTGATAATTAGCATTTCTAGCACATGTTCAAGAGCTCATGACACTGTACTTTGAAACTGCATAATATACAGCTACTGAACATACGCTCGGTTTCTCTTTGATTGTCTGATGCTATCTCAATCCTTATACCTGTGGATGTTTTATTTTTTTTTACAGGCAAATTCATGAAAAATATATCTAATGCTAGAGACAAATGTATATATACATGTATAACCACTATTGGATTTTTTTTCACATCTTTAATGATGTTATGAAGCAGGCGACACATGCGTTCCTTGAAAAACTCTAATTTCATCTATAAAGGAAAAGAAAAGCAAATTGTGTTTTTTTTTTAAATTTGCAAACGATAAAATTTTCTACAGATTAACTTAAAGTATATGTCTAACAAAGTTGCAACCAACTGCACAAACACAAACTTTTTTTGCATTTTGAAGTAATGTTGAAGAAGTCGCATACTAGAGGATAGATCTTTCTATTTTAAAGTCTTAGCAATGGACATATCAATTTCCAATTATGTTGAATAAATCGCACCATAATCGTCATTTATTGACAAAAATGACATCTTTATTTTCCGCTATCAGATTCTATAATTTATCTAAATGTTAAAGCAGTTGCAATATATTGTATATACGAAGTTCTGGAACGATTACCATTAGAACCGCTAAGACAAACTAGTATCATTCATTATTTAGGTCCTGACTGGCAATGGGAAAACCAAGATGGCGGTCCTGGCAATATTGGGACAGTGTACAGAGTGAAACAAGATGTTGTCTATGTAAAATTGTGTTTTTTTTAATCATGGGATATTTTTTATCATATTAAACATTTTCTAATATTATATTTTAAACGTTCTAGGTACGATGGAAAAACGGAAACAAAAGCAATTACAGATTTGGATATGATGACAAAATAGATGTTGTCGTTTGGTTAGTAGATGTCAAATATTAATATAAAGATCAGACTTTTTTCTTAACCTTTATAAGTTGAATTCATGTAACAATAAATTCTAACAAACACTCTATGGATAAAGTCATTCACTCATTTCTAACTTTTATTTCAGTAACCCATTCGACCAAAGTATAGTTACCAGTATGCCAAGTGTGTTTTTTACAAAAGGAAAAAAGGGATTATAAGCAATCAAAAGTCGTTCAAAGCGGTGATATAACGTTGGTTACTTAGATAGATATCAGATGTTTTGTCACACTTTAAAGTTTGTATCCTAATTTAACGGTGTAGATCAAAACAAGAAGATAAATTCAAAGTTAAAAATAAAATCATGAAAGAAAAATCATGTGCTTGTATGAACGATAAATATTACTGTGACTAAAATAAATAATGACAGCTACCCCCCCCCCCATCCCCCCTTATTTGAATGTTCCATTCTTTAATACATTTTGTACTAGTCATATTCTTGGATAAAGCAAAGGCAGAATTAACAATATTATAAAAATGACGCAGGCTATGTACTCTCACTGTTAATAATTAATATTTTATCTCTCTGTGCTATAACATAGGATCTGCCACATAGACGTGAACCTCCACAGCCCCCCCCCTCCCCCGACCCAAACTCAAAACATATATGCAGTGAATGACGATAGAATACTAGTATATATATATCAGATAACATTTAACTATCAGCACATCAGATCTAACTTTTTATTACTTAGAATAATGTAAAATAATTTGTGCTTCATTGCAGCCAATTTGCATACGCAACAAATTAACAAAGTTAAAACGGAGAGAGGGTGGGGTCAGCCAAATAAAATAATATATATAACCAAAAAAAAACAGAGATTATCGAACTGCGAGTATTCTTTATTTTCGGTAACTATATATTAGCGGATCTATACTTACTGAAGTTTTTTGTTGTTTTTTTTAAAGCTAGAGGAAGGTCACAACGATATTCTTGCCTCTCCCCATCTTCAAAGTGGTGATGGGGACAGTGGCCCCCTATGACTATGCCCATGATCTAACTGCTGATGTCTCTTCACCCCTTTTTCAAAACATTTTTAAATCTGTATCAGCCGATAATCGTATACGATAGCAAATACACGATTATTTCATTTTAAAGTCTTACGTCTTTGCAACAAGTATCTTGACTTCAGTTGGTCACAAAAATCTTTTTCTATTACAGTAGATTAAATTGTATATATTATTTTACAAGAAGTTAATATATTTACTATACAAAAATAATAGAGTTGCCAATTTTTATCTAAGTCATGAATTTTTTTAATGAAAAGGGCAACTGGATCCCGTCTCTGGTGATTCCAGGAGTCCGTGTTTAAACTGCTCCATTCACGGGCACCTGAAATTATATCCACTAGTTACAGATAAAGCCCTAGATCAAGAAAAAAACCTACTGCCTCTCTATATAACGGTATATAAAACCACATGGTGTACAACGCCATTTTGATCCCCTCCCCGGCCGGTTCGGGGCTCAATCAACCATAGAGATCGGATATGCCTACTGTAGCAGATAGTTCAAATATATTGTCGTGATGAAAAATTTAAAGATTTTAAATGTTCACTGTCATTTCAATTACTGTTTGGTGGTTTTTGTAATAATTTCCATGAAAGCTTTGTGATCCTTTATTTGTTTAGCAAAATATCTAACATTCCACAAAAACCATTTTTTTTTTAAGCACAAAGATCAATTAAACATTAAATTCTGTAATGATTAAATTTATTATAAAATATTTCAAAAAAATGAAAAATTAACTGTTTTGAATTATTGAAATTAATTACATATTTCAGAGATAAATAAGTATATTGAAAAACTGTAAGTTTTTCTCCATGACAAATGTCTTTTATTAATTTTCAATCTAAAGTTGAAAATGATGTCACACCCTTTCGTTATTCGTCTTGATATGTCTTGTTATTTTGGTTATAGACGAAGACTTGGGCAGCTTCTCAACCCAATGGATATATCCGTTTGTTGAGGCTAGATAAATTAAAAGAAGGCAGGAATAATGCAAACATCCGGCTGGTTTTATTCAATGATGAAAAGTGTTATAAAACAAAGCTATAAAGAGGGACTCAAGGCCTTACAAATTTACCAATGTAATTAAAAAATTCATTTCATTAAAAACTTACTAAAATTAAAGGTACTTATAAAAAGCAATCAAAAACAACAAATCATAAATCAGTATCTTACTTAAATCAAAACAAAAATAAAACATTGCTATAAAACAACCTGACTTTAACTTTTTTTGCAAACAATGTAAACAATAAGGTTGGGATCAGAGACGCGGCGATTGATTACGTAAGACAAAGAAACTGAAAAACTTTGCAAATTCTACTTTACCTGACATTACTTCAAAATGCTAAAATATGCATAATGCTTAGATGCTTTTGGGACTACAAATGCCATTTATATAATAATGGCATTTGCAGTCTCAAAAGCATCTAAGCATTATGCATATTTTAGCATTTTGAAGTAATGTCAGGTAAATCGTCAATTACACATCGGCGATCGTCTCACATATTTCCTAACAATAAGTGAAAGTAAGTTTGTCTATTTTTAACAATAATTTGCAGTCGCCCGCTTGGCGCAGTGGTTAGAGCGTTCGCTTTAGAGTCGTGGAGTAAGGCGTTGATCCTTACGTCGCGGGTTCGAATCCCACTGTGGGGCGTGGAGACCGGTCCTTCGGATGAGACCGTATATAAATCGAGGTCCCGTGTCGCAGTAGGTGCTGGCACGAAAAAGATCCCTCACTGCTCAATGGCCCTGAGTGCCGAGTATAGGTCAAAATTTGTAGCTCTCCACCGGCAAGTGGTGGCGTCTCCATATGAGTGAAAAATTCTCGTGAGGGACGTTAAACAATAAACAAACAAACAAACAATAATTTGCATCTCGATCCCGATCCTATTAAAGCATAAAAATTACAAATCTTACTGTGCAACATAAAAACTATTTGGCTACATACCTTCACTCTGTAAATAAGTTTGCAATAGATATGTATACCAAAGGTACTAACTACACTATAATTATTTCTAACTTAGACAAAGACCAAAGTGAACAATGACAAAAATTTAAAAACTTAAAGTTTAGCAAATTAAACTTTTAATTAAATCCTTTAACTAAATCAATCTTAAGCTCTAAAATTTATTAATTACAATGATTTTAAAAGTTTGTCCACAATAATTAATTACCTACGAAAAATAAAAATAAAACTATAGTTACCTAGATAAATTAAAAGAAGGCAGGAATAAAGCAAACAACCGGCTGGTTTTATTCAATGATGAAAAGTGACCAGCCCGGACGCGCAACCTGCTTAAATCAAATTTCTAACATATTCTTTTTAACCAATCAAAAAATGATTCTGGAGACAATAGTTGACGAAAAAAAAATAGATTACAAAAGAGCACTTGGTCATTGCGTGTCCACTTAATCTATAGGTCTTTGTGACGCAAGTAATTAAACAACTATTGGCCAGGTAAAAGCTAAAATAAAATATATGAAAATTTCTGAAAACTTTTTTTTTCAAGCACAAAAATCAATGAAACATTAAATTCTGTAATAATTAAATTTATTATAAAATATTTCAAAAAAATGAAAAATTAACTGTTTTGAATTATTAGAATTAATTACATATTTCAGAGACAAATATTAAGTATATTGAAAAACTGTAAGTTTTTCTCCATGACAAATGTCTTTTATTAATTTTCAATCTAAAGTTGAAAATGATTACATATATGAATTTCTTATAATTCAATAATTAGCAAACGACAATATTTCTATCTATGTTCAATTCTTCAAAACTTTTAGTTTAACATAATGGGTAATTTAATCGACTTAATTTAATTTTTCCTCGAAGACTTGACATCCATCAGCTGATCGATTCAGCGAAACGAGGTGGGAATGAAACGTCGCACACCTTCACAGTGTTTTAATCCGGATTGCATTATGATATTTGCCCTCATGACCTTGATCTTAAGGTTTTATGCAGTTTTAAGAAACTTTAATCTTCGTTGTAACTTTTATTAATTTAACCTTTTTATCTTATTTATAATATGATGAATAGATACACTGTAAGAAAATCCGAAACGCCTGCATTAGAGTTCATACTTACTCCCCATTATTTCACTTGGTATATATGAGGTGTTGAGCGGTAAACTTTATTTTGATTTCACTCTCATAGTAATTATCGCAAACTTAATTAAAAGTCTACTTTCATTTTCGATAAACAGACAAATAGCAAAAAGAGAGTAAAGTGGTGGTTATAGTTGGCGGGTCTAAGTTAGACAATTTCCAATGAAAATCAAAAAATACAATCGTTGATTTATTTCATTAAACGTCGTTGATATATTATTCAATCAAAACTTGATTTAACTGATGTAGGAGAAATAACTTGTAAATACTGATAAAAAAAAAACAAAATGTGCAAATCCTTTTCGTTTATGTCCGATCTGAGTCTTTACGGATATTTCTAGAATGTCAGATGGCATCGAACCCGATATTAAAAAGAAAATACGATGCCTAAATATTTAAATTGGACTGGGAAATAATGGTAAAGCAATTGATAACACTATGAATCATGAATCTATTTATATATCGAAAGATTCTTAGTACATTTGTACATGTAAGTTGTGCTAATAAAACTAGCAACAAAATTTTCACATTCGCCAGTAAAGCAAGAACCCGAAGTAAAATATACGTGTACATGTATATAGAAGAGAAAATGCCAATGAAAATATATCAAGTAAAAATGCGATGTATTCAAAATTTTCTTAAATTACTAAATCTGTTAAAATAATTGACTGGCGTCATGAGAAAAGGGCCCTTAACGTCAAAATTTCACATTTTTATTTTTTTCTTGAAATGAAGTCTCCATCATTTTCTGTTTATGAAAATACCAAACTTTTGCTCGTATCACGTAAAATAACGTTTTTATGACATTTTTTGCGACGCATATATAAAAATATTGATAACGTCCATTTTAGAAAATCATAACGTCAACGGAACGTCAATCGACGTCAAACATTGTGTCGATTCTTATTATGTGCCCTTTGCATCTTTTCGTTGTAAATGTAGTTTAAAACATTTGTTTATTTGTTTTAGAACCGTGAAAACTTTATACTTGTTTATATTTTTATTACACATGTTAAAAGAAAATGGTCATGCACCATTTTTCATCAATTCTGTAAGGTCTGTACAGTTGTTCATTTTCACAGAAGTTCAACAACATATTAATGAATCAAATTCCAGTGCAAACTCAGATTTCCTTGTTCTTCTACATACGTTTAAATATATAACTCACAATCAACCAATAATTACACACAGGAATAAATAAATAAATAAATAAATAAAAAAGGCTATAGCCATCATCGTCTGAGTCATTTATTCCTCAGTGGGAGTGGGACATGTCGCCTCTCTGGCATGGCTCTTTACAAAAGGCCTCACGTGTTTGTAGAGATACTGGAGTCTTTCCGAAGAAAGTCCACCTGTCAAAAAGGTATAGTGTTTTAAGTTATAAGTTCATTGCATTTATTTTTTTTAAAGAATCAGATCTAAAGTCAAATAATATTAACCTTCAGCCAAGGTCTGCGGAAGTCTCCTGCATATGAATTTATATCTAGACTTCTGTGATGATATGTATCAGTAAATAAAACAAAAGAAAATGTTTTTCTGGTGTTGATGCATTCTTAATGGGGTGGGGGTGGGGCTTGAGTGCCACGAAATTTTCGTAGTTATATAATTAACCTTGGATTCTTGAAAAAATAATTTCTTGTAAAGTATAATTGAATATCTAGGAATGTAAGAACTAAACCCCCCCACCCCCCAAAACACAAAAAAAAAACAAACAAAACGTAGATAATTTTATCGTTTCTTGTGTTTGTTTGTAAAGTTTCCCATTGCTTGTGGCCCGGACTCACCCCACTCAATGGAATTTTCACAGACTATCTTTCTTGAGTTAAGACCCCCCCCTCCCCCCCCCCTCCCCCCCCCCCCGCTG